GTTCAGAGACTTAACACTGCACTAACCTGCACTAACCTGCACTAACCAGCACTAACAACCTGCACTAACCCGCACTAACAACCTGCACGTAGGCGCATTACTTTATAGAAAGACACTTCGAAATTCTTTAGATTTTGGTTCAAATTTCTTGGGTTGTTTGGTTATAATAGGCGGTGTCAGCCATTTTGTATCCGCCTGAAGCATGCCCAACCACTGGATAACGACGGTCACACACTGGAGGCAAAAGGGGGTCAAGAAGACTGATGCAGTGTTGCTGCTAATAAGATATTCAGTGGAAATTGAATGTCACGAAGGCACTATGGAGGCAGAAGAGATCAAAGTGCACATTTCGAGGCATTGATTGCCAAGAATTATTAAGTGGCACGAGGACACTCTGGAGGGGAAACAGTGACATGAAGCATCTTGAGGCAATGAATGCCAAGAAAATATTCAGTGACGCTTCACAGTAACGAAGACACCCTGAATACATTCAGTGACACTTCACTGTCACGAAGACACTCTGGAGGTAGAAGAGATCAAAGTGAACAACTCGAAGGACTGATAGCCAAGAATTTATTTGAGTGGCACTTCACTGTCACAAAGACACCCTGCAGACAGGAGCGTTCTGAGAGGACATTTCAGAGCAGTGATTGCTAAAAATATTTAAATGACACTTCAGTGTCATGAAGACACCAAGGTGGCAGAAGATTTCCATGAGGACATATCGAGGCATACTTGTCAAGAATATATTTAGTGGAACTTCACTTTCACGATAACATGTTTGTAAGAGCTTACACCTATGTTTTCAACTAAAAATAATCAAAAATGTGATTCTCTTAAATTGAGGTCAAGGTCATTACACCAAAAGTGCTTATAACTTTCTGTTTATGGTAGCTAGTGGGATAGCACTTTCTGTTTTGAAGTTGTCTTCTTTCCAAACGGGAACTGATGTCATTTAACTGGAAGCGTCAACAATTTTCTTAGTAATGTTGGTGCAGAACTGTTTTTAAGTTGTGATGCATTAAGCTTATGTTATGTTTGGCCTTTACTACAATTAAGTTAGTTTGTCTGTTTTCCCATTACAGAGGTGAATTTATCAAACCAAGAGTGCTTACATTGACAGCTTGAGGCACAGGACTAATTTCTGCTGCATTTGGCAACATGAGGTATCTGAGATGAAAATAAAACATGCATTGATGAGGTCATCTGTCACTTGAGTAGATGAAAGTAAAAATGGGTCATGATACACGTTTGTTGTGGTAAAGTTTCGCTATTCAAGAAAGATTATGATGGGACTAGTTCTGTATTGCATGTAATTTAATACATTTATTCATATATGTTTTACATGTTTATCCTTGCATCTGTAGGTAGTTGTAGAATAGCATTACTGTTGTAAATATGTAAGCTTAGTGCCATAAGATAAAAATGGGTCCCATACACCTGGGAATATTGTAACAATTTAAACCTTTAAAATTATGGTCGCGGTTGTTTGATCAACAGCCATGGCGAGATTAAGTCTGAAATGCATTGCTTCGATGCTGTCAGTGCCATTCAAATTGATTAGCAGAGACAGAAAGCATTAATTATGAGAAACAAAACGCGCTGATGGCAAAAAATCAATGTTACGACAATACTAGTTCTACATGTCACTAATTTGTAAGTGCTTTCTTGTAACGTTGTCTTTCTTTTTCATTCAGGATGAATCATTTGATCCACCAAGACTTGAACGAGCTGTGGAGGACAAGTAGTTGGTACCTGACAAAGGCCACTGTGATGGACATTACTTGGACCGGGTACCACCTGGAAAACTCGCAGTTGTGCCCTGAATGATTGTGCACCATCCTCTAATCACTCGAACGTGATGCCACACTTACAACTACTGTGAATACTACCACTGTAGTTTTTCGCTGGGGACTAGGTCGTTTTAATATCATACTTGTGAGGCTGATTTTCATGAACTATACTGTCACGCCATGTTTCTGTATCAAACCATGTATAATAAAAGTATGAAAAATCCACTAATTAGTTTTCATTGTAGCTAATCGGGCATTTGAAGCCATGTGAGAGTATGAAATGATTTGTTGAAAATCTTGATATGATAACCTAGTCTATCAGGCCAAATGATTTTCTCTCACTGCAAAATATATTGATTGACCACAGAGCCTAATGTTTCAACACCAACGTGTTGTTTACTACAAAACTGACTGCTGAGCGATATTTTTAAGTACATAATACAAAGTGGTAAATAATAAATATCTGGCAGAAATTTCTGGAGGTATAAGAAAGATTCTTCCAGACATTTCTGCAGTACAAAACAAATCAGTCAGAATTTTCTTCAGAAATGCATTTGAGCTCATTTGAGGAACATAACTTTCCAATGTTATTAAGTGTGTTCCTGTAGGCTCGATCCCTTTATGGTCATGTTCGGACTGCTGACCATTCCAAAGTTGTATCGCCTCTCCTTCATGTAAGTTATATCCCAGCGTGTTACATGTAGGTTCATGCGGAGGAAACGTCTGAAGCGGTACAGAACGTAGGAGAACCAAAACGTCAGTAAAATGATAAAATATAAAACCTAGCAAATTCGCTGTCAGTTGACAATGCATTTGTTTAGAAACTAAAGTCCATTTGTTTGCAAACAACTCTTGCAATGCAATTTAATTTTGATATTCTAACAAAAATGATCACACATATCTTCACACCACGATTAAGTTGTATTCAAGGTGAAATATTCACATGAAACGTGTGACGCACCACCTGAGAAGGGACGTATCAGGGTGTTTCTGTTCAAATAATATGTTCTCTCATCAACTGACCTGGCATAAATGATCAAACGTGCTCCATTCATTCAATATTTGGCAAGAACTGACATATGTTCTCTTCCATGGAAACTCATTGAAACACAAAGAAAGTAGTTCCTGCAGCTTCGTTTTATTGAAAATGTCACTTTTATTTCCAAGTTCTAATTTTAGCGGTTACACTGTGTGTAACACTCACGCACATGAATTTAATTTATCAGGGAATGGTGTTGGCGTTTGCTGTTTATTACAAGATACATGTGGAATGGAGAAATGCCTTTGATCCCGTTTGTGACATGTATAACACGTTCATCAACTATCCAATGGTATTATAACAGTGATTGATGATTAATGAACTGTTATAAAAATACCAAGCAATTAAATTTTGTAAATCGACATCTGATGTGGACATGGCAAACGTTGAATTACGAATTGTTGTATAAGAGCACCAACTACTGCATTTATAAGATATCACATAATCCCCAAATCATTAACGTTGCATCCAACAATGGGTTTATATTCAATCAACAACATTAGTAATCTATGTTAAAATAGAAAACATGTAAGTCTCCTAAAAGCAAGGCTTGACCAACTTACTAGTACATTAATTATTTAGCATCACATAGGATATCAATATGGTCTAATCAATGTATTGATGTACGTGGGGAGACCTGGCCAGCATACATGTGTAATAATATACAAAGCAATAAGTCATCAGGTCGGTTTGTGACCAGTGAAGATCCGGGGTAGAATAGATCTTCAGCAGCCCATCCTTGCCGTAAAAGGCGACTATGCTTGTCGTAAGAGGCAACTAACGGGATCGGATCGTCAGGCTCGCTGACATCGTATCCCAACTGCGTGGATCAATGTTCATGATATCAGTCATATATCATGAAACACGAGCATTGAACATTGAACCATCTATGTAATCCTGACAAAGGACACCTCACATTTGAAGTCAGGATTTGTGTGAGTCAGTGTGTTGGGTTTAACGCCCTTTTGAACAGTATTCGAGTTATATCATGGCGTGCCAGGTAGACGTGGGAGGAAAGCCCATAGTGATGCAGGTTTCAAACGATTATCACCTTGGTGAAACCCACAAGCACGGGTGTGGTGCTGACAAACCTAGAAAGGTAATCGGGGCGAACCGGGATTCGATCTCACAATCATATGTTTTCAATGGACCTAACTCTGCACAGTGAATTGCTGCGCCTTAGACGACTGGGCAACCCATGGACTCAAATCAGAATTTGATCAACAACTGTTTATGCAACTTTGCGAGGGCACCTTTTTAAAACGGCGTCCAAGCTAATACTTGATTATCTGTTATTCTATGCATTGAACCAATGACTTGCATGCACAAAACATGATAATGATGTATGATGAAACTATTCAATTGTCACAATGGATGTTATGTGTGGATAGTGCTTGAATAGGATCCGACCCGTGAAGATCCGGGGTAGAATAGGTCTTCTGCAACCCATGCGTGTCGTAAGAGGCGACTAACCGGATCGGGTGGTCAGGCTCGCTGACTTGGTTGATGCATGTCATCGTATCCCAATTGCGTGGATCGATGCACATGATGTCAATAACTGGATTGTCTGGTCCAGACTCGATTATTTACAAACCGCCTTCATATAGCTGGAATATTGCTGAGTGCGGCGTTAAACAACAAACAAACAAACAAACTGAATAGGATCCCCAACACACAGTTGTGACCTTAATAACGAGGCGTTGCAAACTAGTCCTGCTTTGATCAACGCTTACATTGATTGAACATTGGTTCGAGGTCCGCTTATCAGGTCAATTATTAACATGTAGGTCAAAACATATTATGCGTCACAGACATTTCTGGTATACAGTTCACTAGTTTTGCGCTCTTTAAATTGAATTGAAAGTGATGCGACATACATATATATATGTTTCTATGGTTCGCGTTTCTTTTGGTCATGAGTATATATACTATTCAAGGTATGTTTCATGATCACGTGGACAACTTATGGAAATGTTTGTACTGTTGTTTATTTTATATTGAAGCTGAAAATGCATGTCTTAAAGCAATATGGAATTCTGTTTGTTCTTGAAACATATCTATGCAATGGTTCAAATGCAGTCCTATGCTGAGCTCTTTGAATATCTCTATCATATGGATGATTTATAATCCCAGTGTGATAAAAATATGAAGAATTAACACTATTTAAGTTATTCCTTTTCCTTTAATTGAAAAAATTCAACCGTAGATATTATGGAGTCCATTGCCAAATACGGTCATGGCATCGTTATAGAAGTGGCTCTTGAAACTACCCGCGGCAGGATGACCTCGATAAGGAACCCACAGCTGACAGACGTCAGTCCAGCACTTGTTGGCCCATGCCAGGACGTAGGCGAGTCGACGTGTAGTTGACGTGGATTTGAGGATGTCAAGAACGTGGTCGTTCCAGAACTGATGTTGTTGGTTGATGCCGTTATAAAACAAACCCGATTCCGTCAGGGCAGGAATCTTATCCCTGGCCTCCGCAATTTCCACGATGTCTGTAATAATTCTCTTAAACTGGTCCTTAGTGGACCATTTGTCGACGTAGTAGAAATCGGTACCGACGATGTCAACATAGTCGTCACCGGGGTATATTTTAAGGTAATCGTCTTTGCTGGTAAACTTGTCCGGGCTGATGCAATAGAGGAAGTTCCTCACGGCTTTGTGATCACGGAGATACGTCACAATGTACTTGAAAAGGTCCTTCAAATCCTGGGGCGAGTTATGGGCCTTGTTGTTTAATCCCCACCAGAACCAGCCGCCATTTTGTTCGTGAAGTGGTCGAAAGATGACGGGTATCAGGCGGCCGTGTTTATCCTTCAGGCTGTGCGCCCATCCTGCGATCTTGTCAAGGTTCTGTCTGTACACGGCGTTATGGTCACCTCCGGGAAGGAGTCTCTTGATGGTGTGAAGGACGTTGCCATGGTCCTGCTCGATCCGTAGCGAGCCCCCAGTGACAGGGTTGGAGTTGTGTTGCAAGATGGTCACCACCAGCCCCTTCTCGTGGGCCTTCTTCACCAGGTACGTCATGATCTTCAGTTTATCCGGTTCGAAGTTGGTGAAATCGAATCCTATGACTGCAGGATACTCACCAGTGACTCTCTTGACGTCCGACAGCTCGTCCTGTGCATAACTGTCCACTTGTCCGGTCTGAAACAAGAGCAGGTGGTTCTTAGTTGGGTCTGTGTACTGGAATGTGAGGTGTATATTTTGGCCGGGCTTTGGTAGTATGGGCGAGAGGATGGGTTATTTGGCCAACAGTTTTGTTGGTGACCTCAAATGAGCAGTCGTTCTTAATAAAAAATAAAAAATAAAATAGATAAATTAAAAAATTGTAAAATAATTTGGAACAAATGAGACGCGTAAGAACTTCCAAATTAGAAAACAAAACAAAACAGCCCTAAACAAACAAACGAAACGAAAAGTAAACATAAACACCAACATCCTACACAAAACAAAATAAAAAAATGAACACAAACCAAAAACAACGATTAAAATCAATTCACCATGGTGAATATCAAATTGACCATATTGATTATTAGAATGTTAGATTGTTTCAGATAAACTCGCTAAATAATTATGGGAAGAAAGTTATAAACTATATAGCCAGACGGGCGGGAGAGGAGATAATAATTCTAGTCACCGCTTTAGACAGTATTCCACTTATATCACGGCATGTCAGTTTAATGTGGGAGGAAAGCCCGAAGTGATGCAGGTACCAGACGTTAACCACTTCGGTGAACCCCACGAGCACGGGTATGGTGCTGACAAACCTAGAAACACAATCGGGGCGAACCGGGATTCGAACCCTCAATCATAGGTTTCTGGCGTGCCCAAGGCACGCAACTCTGCACAGCGAATTGCGGCACCTTGGACAACTGGGCCACGTACCCTCCTTAAGTATTAGTATTAGTGGTCACTGTATGACGCTACTCCGAACGTTGCGAATGCACAGAATTGCCATTACTAAACTTAGTATATTCTTCTCCACAACATCGATATGAAAAGGTGTAGATGTCAAGCTAGAACAATACACTTGTCACGTTAATAGCGCAATAGGACACTAGTATGTGTCGATGTGTTATATGGAAACTACGTATAGAGTAAACTGCCATTAATACGCACCGCGCTGCAGACGGATCAAATGCATAGGCATTATCTCAAGTAATTTTAAATGGGATAAATGTCAGACTAGTTTCGTCTCAAAGCCTGGTTACAGTCGGAAATAGCGTTGCTGAATCCTTCCTGTCAAGGCGTTACGTTTTGCAGCATTCGTGACCAACTCGTGTCCATTCGTAACCAACCCATGCCTTTTCGTTACTTATTCGTGCCTATTCGTGACCTATTCGCGCCATTCCGGACAACCCGAATGGAGACCCTTCTTGTAGGTTACGGAAATATGCGAGCGGTGCCGAATAGTTTTGCGTTCAAATACGTGGGTAGGAAGCGGGATTCATTCGGGACCACCCTGCCCTAAAAAGTAGACACGGATAACAACTTCTTTATTTACTGTAAAGGCGACGTTTCGGTATATGTTTGCGACGGTTTTTTTCTATGAATGGGAGGGCGATGCGGAAAGGTGCTGATTCGGGTTTTTGGGGTCGCAGATTTGGGTGTGGGATGGAGTGCAGAGGAGATGACTTTGTCAAAGAAAACTAACAGAAGCAGTCCACATTTGGCCACAATCAACAGAGATCAAGGCTGTTTCAATCCATCCACCTACTATGAACACATTAAACAATAATCACCCCGCCTTTGTATATTTATCCTGGCTTTCTGTCGTATTGGCGTCCTCATCAAGTATACTCTGTCCATCATGTTGTTACAATATTATCCTTCTGTTGTCATTATTTAACCTATTCATGTTGATCTTTCTCATGTATGCAATTGAGTTACTGTTAATCCTCCACCTACTATATATATTCTGTACCATGTTCATTATTTAGCGAGGCGGTCGGGTAGCCTAGTGGTTAAAGCGTTAGCTCATCACGCCGAAGACCCGGGTTCGATTCATGGGTACATGGGTACAATGTCTGAAGCCCATTTCTGGTGTCACCCGTCGTGATATTGCTGGAATATAACCATACTAACTCACACACTCATTATTTAGCCTTGCTTGACAACGGTATAAGGATCTGTACCGAAACGTCGCCTTTAAATAAAGTAAATAAAGAAGTTATTTTCCATAAAGTGTGTCTACTTTGTCGTCCGTCAACTTCGAAGTAATGCCATCAAACAATTCAACACAGCCCTACATCGCACCTCGGAAAGCAGTGGTGTAGGGATTCTGCATGACTTAACTGTAAACCGTCCCTACTGACTGATCCCTCCCGTATAGTTCAGGTTCAAAGGACAAGAAGGTCGCTCCATAAACAAAGGCCATTTGTTGTTATGGAAATGAGGCAATACAATTTGATAGCAAACAAAATCTACTGTTCAGGTCAAGGGTGTTGCCAGATTGTGTTCCAATATAGATTCCTCACAATACTGGCCTAGATAACCTATCTGACTGAGGTGAGCCATCGTGTGTAGCCGATAAGGGCAACAAAAACGTGCTACAACACACAAAACAATGGCAACAATGGTTTTCGGGCCTGGGCCCCGCACGATCTCATTAAAATCAGATCTTAGTTTTCGCTACCGCTGAACAAAGATCTGAGGACATCCCATTACGGGTCACGTCAGAACGACCTCTCGCGAACTTTGACCGATCAATGAAATGACTGACAAGAAATCGACATTAGCCAATCAGAAGGCAGCTTTCTCGAGCTTTACGGCACTAGTTTCAAACTGGCGACTACGCTTCGAAACATATTTCGACGTATTCTCGGTAAAAAAATTAAAAATGATAAAAAGAACACTCTGGAATGGCTTATAGATGGCCTAGATTGTATGGATATAATCATAAAACCCGTTACTGTCGTTCGGAATACCGCTGTTAAATATTGCATGATCAGAAAACACATTCAGTCTGTCACTTTCAGGATCTGGTAAGCGACGC